ATCCAGGTACAGTCAGTGCAACACATGGTCAAAGAACAGATGACACAGAATAACATCCGTGTAGGTTGCAAAATGTTTATTAGGCCACTGATATGGTGGTGAATGTTATTTCATTCATTGCCAGAAGATGACAGTTTTCAAGCTTAAAAGGACACAAAACAAAGAGCATAAAAATAAATCACTGAAATGGTGTTGGATCTGCGCTACTCTTGGAAACCTGTAGCTGTAATCATCCAGGTGTTCTGGGATTGTTGGTTTCACTGTGCAAATGGAACCTTAAACCTTGTGATAATCTTAATTTGTACATTTATATTTGTGTGTAAAAATTTGTAACTATTTTACATTGGAAACATGAAAAAAAAGTTTTGCAGCAGTGTATGATTGTATCATAGTTTACAACCAGACAGCATGCAGAATGTTGAACGGGGTGAGTTAAGACATGGATCATCACACCAGCATACAACAAAAATATACATATATGTCCACAGATACGTTTCTATAGGTTTATTTCATTTGTTGCAGGCAGTGATGTATTCAACAAATGATAACAACTAATAACAGACAGGTATAAAGCATGGCAAGCTAGAAATGAAGAGCACAAAGAACTGAAATCAATGTATAGGCTACAACTAGCTGAAGTTTGCTGTGCTTTATCCTAACATTACACAAAGAATGCCTGCAATCATTCAGTCAGAGACGACTGCACAAAACGTGCACTGTAAACTAATAAAAACATTGTTACGAAATGATGAACAAATGTAGTTTAGGCATGCATGGGTTTGTGCAACACTGTAAATATATTTACCTTTTTTAAAATATTCCATTAAACCTGCTGAGATACAAGGAGCGTGAACTGAAATTCTCAATTCCACTCGAGAAACTCATGAATATTCATGTGTGCTCCGCCCACTGAAACCAAAAATCTCGTAACACCGGCATATCCTAATTAATATTCATGAGCTAAGTTTCACTAAAGTTAATTTAGAAGCAGTCCTTTTACAGTTTGTCATAATATGGGCCTAAAATGTTTCTAAGAATATCATAAGCATACAGCGAGTAAACAAACGAAGTGTTAATGTCTTGAATAATGTCTGTGTTGTTTTTATGGACAGTGTCTCCATTATCTGCTGGCCCGGCCGGTGACATAAACACACCTACAACAACATTAATCACAACAGCTGTGTTCATATCAGTATTTTATTGAACTGGAAATGCTTCAAATCACACACTAGCACCGTGTTCACTTGCTAAAAGTGTGTAAATCTACTAAAACTAAACACGTCTGACCAGGGCTCCCTGTTGCAAAAAAACAGCACATGCTGGTTAGGTATGTTTTGAAGCTGGGATGCTGGTTTGAGCTGGTCCTTTGCTGGTTTATTCTGGTCCTTTGCTGGTTTGAGCTGGTCCTTAGCTGGTCATGTGCTGGTCTGACCAGCTTAAGACCAGCTAAGGACCAGCAAAGGACCAGCATAAACCAGCTCAAACCAGCATCACAGCTTCAAAACATACCTAACCAGCATATGCAGTTTTTTTCAACAGGGCTAGACTGGTTTAAAACCGGTTTGTCCAGCAGGGTAATCTGTGCCGATTAAAACAATTACATCTGTGCAACTTAAACAGTGCAGAGTGAGAGTCATTCTCAGTGCCATTCATCAAATCAAATCATTTACATTTTTAAACATTTGCTGTATTCATTTGTGATTTTATATGATCAACAACTGATTCATGGCACATCTTGAAATGCTTTGTTTAAGACGTTTTCCCAGCAGAAACTTGAATGTACCGACATACACTGCTGCTGTCTTAATAATGATGTAAAACATTTAATACTAGCATCTGATTGGACAAAGAGTGAGGTCTAGACAGGTCTGTTCCAGCGCAGTGCATTCTGGGTAATCTGACGATCATCAACATCAGCAACATTCCCCATCATCTTTAGTAGGAGCTTTAGAAGATAAGAAACGCTGATCAGTAACACATATTGGGCTGCACGGTTCATCAAAATAAACCTGAAGTCACGATATAGTTTAGTGCAAACAGCAAATCACTAAAACTGTGATTTAATTAAATAAATATATGCACAGCACTGTGTTCAGTTACACGCCAGTGCCTCATTTATATGATCAACAACTGATTCATGGCACATCTTGAAATGCTTTGTTTAAGACGTTTTCCCAGCAGAAACTTGAATGTACCGACATACACTGCTGCTGTCTTAATAATGATGTAAAACATTTAATACTAGCATCTGATTGGACAAAGAGTGAGGTCTAGACAGGTCTGTTCCAGCGCAGTGCATTCTGGGTAATCTGACGATCATCAACATCAGCGACATTCCCCATCATCTTTAGTAGGAGCTTTAGAAGATAAGAAACGCTGATCAGTAACACATATTGGGCTGCACGGTTCATCAAAATAAACCTGAAGTCACGATATAGCTTAGTGCAAACAGCAAATCACTAAAACTGCGATTTAATTAAATAAATATATGCACAGCACTGTGTTCAGTTACACGCCAATGCCTCATAATCAGCTCATTTTCCCAAACTTGTCATTAAAAACCATTTGTAAATGGCTGTCAACAAAAGAGAAGCTTTAAGGGCCTCCTGTGGTTTTCAGCCAAAATAAAGACTGATGGTTTAAAACTAAAATTAAGGCTTAAAGTTAAAATTTGAATATTAAGAAATTAAGACAACCATAAATGTGTATTGTTGTAACAATACTAATTATCATTTAATTAGTTGTCATTAGTATTGTTACAGTTGTACTGTAAAATAAAATAAAAATTTTATTGTATTATTTTTCTTATATAGTTGATTTTTACAGTAAAATATTACAGCATTACTATTGTAATGAATATTAAATTATATGATTAAATATTAGTATTTAATATTTATATTAATATCAGAAACTTATAATAATAATAATATATTGTTGCATATTTAAATATTAAATGCATTATTAAAAGTTTTAATTAAAAATGTAAATTACTTAATTAGTTGTAATTAGTATTGTTACAGTTACAGAGCACACTACTGTCATTATTTCTGCAGTATGCAACATGCTAACAGTGCACAGTATTCACCGTATGCATGCAATACTAGGAGGATTTATTAATTTGGACAAAATCTGTGCTGTATAAAACAGAGTTGAATTCTGCATGACATTATGCAACCCTTTCCAGTTTTCCAGAATCATCCTTATACAAAATCATGAGATCTAAACATTTAATGGTGATTTTAAAAAAATCAGTTGTTTTTGCCTATTCATGTTTATTCATGTCTTTTTATTTTTCTAAAAGTCCTGGCGTCCTCTGCAGAGGACATAGCATAACATATGAATACAAATTCAATATAATTCAATTTTTTCTCTTATGCTCTAAACAATGTAATGACATGACGAAAAAATATAATAATTTCTGAGTCTCAGTAGGTTTCTGTTCTCTCTTTTTTTTTTTTTTAAGTCTCGTTAACCGTCTATTTAGTTAATTTCTCACCGAATTGTGCTGGATCGGTGGGTATTAAAAGCTAAGGAAATTTAGACCAAAATTTTTTTTTTAATTTAATGCACTCTTTACATTCCCGCCTGCCTGATTTGCCTCGGCAACTTCCGCAACTGTGACGTCAGTGATTTATAAACGCACTGGACTCTTTTATAGCTCTGTGCGCGAAATGCGGCTGCGCACGGCCTCGATTCCGATTGGTCCTGAGGAAAGTGACGCCACCGCTGCTATAAAAGGACACACTGGCGGCGGCGCGATGTTCAAAGCTTACTGTAAGTCTGACTGTATTTCAGAAAACATCAGAAATAATAGACATGGACTGCTTAAACGTAGCCAAGATTTTACCCAATTCCCCACGGAAGATACGAGGACAGATTCAGGTAACTCTAATATTATATTTATAATATATCATATTTAATGCCATTTGGTTAATTAAGCCCGTGATGATTTATATCATGCAGATAATATTTAGATATTTGTCATCTTCTCAGGTTATTTTCGGACCGATGTTCTCAGGAAAAAGGTGAGGATGAATAAATCATCAGTACACACATGTTATGTTATGAAATATGAAGGTGAAACGCTAGAATAAGTGCTTTGGTTCAGCTGTTTGGCGCGAGAACGGTTACATTGTTTCAAAGACGACGCGAATTTAGCGCCAAAACTGTGTTGAGTGACCCTCGTGCTCCCAGAAACCTCCAGAGCTGTTTATGTAAATCTAATAATAGCTTTCTACATGTAACAGTCACCTTGACTTTATCATAAAGTTCTCAGAACGTTCTCTCAAAGTTATCTAAGCTCTGAAACGTTCTCACAGTGTTTGCATTATTTGCACATGCTTCCTGAAGTTATCGGATGAATGCTACTTTAATGTTTCATGTAACCAAGAGAAAAACATTGTTTTAAGCATCCGTGTTCAGAGAGCATTCAGAAATGTCATTGTCAAAACATAATGTTAACATTAGCCAATCGATCTCGGAAGGTGTTTGTGTTAGCTGGGGAAGACAGTGCTATCAGGATCGTGATGAGGTTACAGTAAAACTATCACTATTAACAAAACATATGTGCAGTCTGATATCAGGGGTCTGTGAGACTCCACTAAAGTTGCATTTTCTGATCAAGAGATGTGGTGAGTTATTAATCTGCTGGGTTATAATGTGTTATTTGCATTATGAATGGTTCTCTCAAAGTTATCTAAGCTCTGAAACGTTCTCACAGTGTTTGCATTATTTGCACATGCTTCCTGAAGTTATCGGATGAATGCTACTTTAATGTTTCATGTAACCAAGAGAAAAACATTGTTTTAAGCATCCGTGTTCAGAGAGCATTCAGAAATGTCATTGTCAAAACATAATGTTAACATTAGCCAATCGATCTCGGAAGGTGTTTGTGTTAGCTGGGGAAGACAGTGCTATCAGGATCGTGATGAGGTTACAGTAAAACTATCACTATTAACAAAACATATGTGCAGTCTGATATCAGGGGTCTGTGAGACTCCACTAAAGTTGCATTTTCTGATCAAGAGATGTGGTGAGTTATTAATCTGCTGGGTTATAATGTGTTATTTGCATTATGAATGTGTGTGTGTGTGTGTTCAGCACTGAACTGATGCGGCGCGTGCGGAGGTTCCAGGTGGCTCAGTATTCCTGTCTGGTCATCAAATACGCCAAAGACACGCGCTACTCTCAGACCGGGATGGCCACACATGACATGTAAGAGAGCAGCAGGTGTGTGTGTGTGTGTGTGTGTGTGAGAGAGAGAGTGTGTGTGTGAGAGAGTGTGTGTGTG